AAAAATCTCCTATGGGGACGCCTGGGTGGCTCAGTCGGTTAAGCATCTGCCTTAGGCTCAGGTCATGATCCCAGGGTCCTGGGATCGAGTCCTGCATTAGGCTCCTTGCTCAGTGGGGAGCCTGTTTCTCACTCTACCTGCTGCTCCCCCTGCTTGTGCTCTCTGTTTCTGACAATAAATAAATAAAATCCTAAAAAAAAAGAAAGAATGAAAGAAAGAAGGAAGAAGAAAGAAAGAAAGAAAGAAAGAAAGAAAGAAAGAAAGAAAGAAAGAAAGAAAGAAAAAAGAAAGAAATCTCCTCTGACCTCTATCCTCTATTGTCACTTCACAAGTTTATCATGTTCCCAGATCTGTGCTTTACTTCTTACCTGCTATTTACTTTCTTTCCAAAGCTGTAGCCCTAGGCTCTGAGAGTTAAATAATTTGGGAAGTTTTGAGTTAAACAGGTTTTACAACAAGACTCCTCAGAGCTTATGGAATGTTAATGGGTATGTAGTGACTCTTCGGGAAGATTTGTCTTGTGTGCACTATTTCCCAGACATTTTCAAAGAGGTCTCATAGGGCACTGATTTAGTTCAGAAGATGCTGATGAAGTCCCAGACAGAGACTGCTATCTCTTCCTCTGTTATGGGTTGAACTCTGTCGCCTCAAAAAAGATATGTTGAAGTCCCAATATCTAGTATTTCAGAATGTGACCTTACTTGGAAATATGGTATTTATGGAGGTAATCAAGTTAAAATGAGGTTATTAGGGTGGTCCCTAATGCAATTCAACTAGTGTCCTTCTAAAAATGGGAAATTTGGACACAGAGATGGATATGTACAGAGAGAAGCCTATGTGAAGAGACACAGGGTGAGGATGGATGTCCTTTTACAAGATGAGGAATGCCTGAGACTTCCAGAAGCTAGAGGAGAGGCCTGAAACAGATCCTTCCCTAGCACCTTCCGTGGAGACCTAGCCCTGCTGACACCTCCATGTTTGACTTCTGTCCTCTAGAACTGTGAAATAAATTTCTATTGCTCTGAGCTACCTAGTTTGGGGTACTTTATTACAGGAGCCCTAGGAAACTAATATAGCTCCTGGTATCCATTCTTCTAGCTGGTGGTAGGTAAATCAGGTTCATTTTTTCTCTCTCTCTATTTATTAAAACATTTTTAAAATTTCTATGATAAGCTTAAAAACAACAAAAATACCCATTCTTCTCCTCTTCTATTGTAATGGAAGTATCAACTTTTAGCTAGGCAAATGGCCAGCCAGACTAGAGTTCAGCAAACTCTTTCAGTAAAGGTCTAGATAGTAAATATTTTAGGTCTTGTGGAACAGATATTTACTTTCACAACTGCCCATTCTGCCATTGTAGCAGGAAGGAAACCATAGACAATATGTCAACAAACGAGCATAGCTGTGTTTCCATAAAACCTTATTTACAAAAACAGGCAGCAGATACAATTTGCTGACCCCCAATCATTGAGTACCTGCTGTTTGCTGGGCATTATTCTGGAAGCTGGGAATACCATGGTGAGCAATACAGTCAAGGCCTCGGCCTTGTGGAGCTTGTAAAATCTTGTTTACAGCTGTGTCCTCAGCACCTTGTGCGGGGCAGGGCACGTAGTGATCAGTCCAGAAATACTGAACCAGTGAGTGATTGACAGGCCCTTGGGTGAAAAGAGATGAGCCAAGCCTTGGGGGTGGTAGGCCAGGGGGGAGTCTCTGCGCTCCTTGTGATGCTAACTAAAACCAACAAAAGAATCTCCACTGGCAGTTTGATTCCTTAACAAGGCAAAAGCAAACCAACACCAGAGGTTCCTTTTTTTTTTTTTTTAAATAGGCTCCAGGCCCAAAGTAGGGCTTGAACTCACAATCCCGAGATCCAAGATTGCATGCTCTACCTACTGAACCAGCCAAGAGACCCCAGTGTATTCTTATATGCACAAAAAACATGTACAAGAATTATTATAGCAACATATTTCTAAAGATATAAAAACTGGAAACAACCCAAATATCCACTAATAGAATCAATGAGTAAATAAACTATATTATTTTCAAATAATGGAAGACTATATAGCAAAGGACAAGAACAAATTACTGCTGCAGAAGACAACATGGAAGAATACCAAAATCACTGCAAATGGAAACCATCTACCCTTCAACCTTCCACTTGGACGCTGAGGACTAAAACTGTAAACTGCTCTACAGCTTACTGTCTACATTTACCATGATTTTGTTATTCCACAGTCTTCATTAGCACAGCTTACTTACTGTTCCAGGATACACTTGCCCAGGCAAATCACTTTATTGTTCATTATAGAACTTCCTGAAAGACCCATCATCTCTTCAATAGAGAACATCAACAGTTGACACCTCAAGAGTCTTTGAAACTTTTTCACCTCAAAATCCTTGCCTTGCTTTCCCCACAGTCCTAAATGATATAATTCCTACCAATCCTATTCAAATCTTCACATTGAAAGACTCACTAAACCAGAATCAAAATCTCAAATTTAACTTTTTCCTTCCCCCTCCAGCAAAAGCTCATTCAAGGTGGTATTCTCCCTGATGGCAATAAGCAATACATTCAGCTTTGTCCTCTGAACAGATTGTTCTGGTGATATTTCGGGAGCCAGCATTCAACAACATAATGTTTAGTGAGAAAAACCAGACGCAAAGAGAGCGTGCTTTATTAATCAATTTATATAAAGTTCAAGAACAGACAAAACTAATCTATGGTGATAGAAATCAGTAGTTACTCGGGGTGTGTGTAGCAGTGGGAAGTTTACATACTGCCTGGGAGAGGATATGAGAGAGTTGTCTGAGAGCTGAAAGTCCTAGATCTTGATCTAGATGGTGGTTACATGTGAATAGACATATGTAAAATTCATTGAGCTATACATTTTTGTGTGCATTTTACTACATGTAAAAAAGTAATTTATTTTTTTGAAAGATTTTATTTATTTATTTGAGAGAGAGACAGAGAGAGAGCATGAGTACGAGCACGGGGGGAAGGGGCAGAGGCAGAGGGAGAGGGAGAAGCAGACTTCCCGCCGAGCAGGGAGCCCGATGCGGGGCTCGATCCCAGAACCCTGGGATCATGACCTGAGCCGAAGGCTGATGCTTAACTGACTGAGCCTCCCAGGCACCCCATAAAAAAGTAATTTAAATAAAGACTTAAAAAGGTTAAAAATTTAACCTCGGTGTCACAGGTTACCAGGAGAGCTGAGTATAGTTTTAGAACATCTCCTTTAGCCAAGGGGTTGCCTTAAACCATACGGAGTTGGGCATTTCGTGAGATCCCAACCTGGCTATCTTGGTTTGTTTTCAAACCTCGTAGGTATGGTGTCCATCTGAGATGCCAGCGGCCATTGCAACTGGCCCTGAGCCCTGGGTATAAATTAATAATATTTATATGCATGGAACAGAGATGGGTGTGGTGAGAATTAGCAAGTGAAATGTTTGACTCAGAGTCTTGCACTTGCAGGATGCAACTTGCGGCTATAGACACCTTGAATCAGCCCCTCTGGGGGAACGATAGTGTTGTTCCTATAAAAACTAGTGTGTGAAATGTCACATAAGGGGACTCACCACCCCTCTGTGTTTAAGGACAGAGCTAGATTAGTTGCGAGTACATACAGAATTGTCTCATCAAAATTGGGGGGGGGACAGTGTTGATGGCTTTCGTTCTCCTTATTTGTAAGATTCACTCATGTTGTCTCATGTAGTCATAGTTTGTTTTTTTAATGGCTGTAGGGTAGGAAAATGTGGTTATATGTGGTGTGTGTGTGTGTGTTCATGAAAGGAAGAGAATTGATTATTTTATTAATTCCAGGAATTAACAAAAAATCCAGCTTCAGAAAGGTCGAACAGGCATCTTTAGCTGCAATAATTTTTAAAAGCATCTGCATTGACAAAGATGAACAAACACACAAAATAGTTTGTGTTGAGAGGAAGAACCATTTGTACTAGCCTATGGTGGGTGACAATTTCTTTACGTAAGATGCACTGAATCATTTCCACAAACCAAGCCAGACCATGTCCTATAAAGCCATTGTTAACCCTCCCTCTCTTCTCAGAAAAGTAAAATGAGGAAAATTCAAGCTGTGCCTACAAAAATCCCGATAAAAGGCCAATGCTTAAAGTAAAAGCATTTTATCACTTTCATTTTTAAGAATGGAAAAACAGATAGGTAGTTGATATTTGTAAAATATTATTTGGTAGCTAGACCAAGTGGACACCATGTACTTATATTTCCCAAACACAGAGTGGGAATTATGGCCTCCTTATCATATTTTTAGCCTGTGGTTACTGCCTGCCTCACCTGGCCCATCCCTTTGGCTAATTGCCTACACAATTATTCTCCAGTGTTCACTGCAGAATGACCCCTCTGTCCACCCACGGGAACAATGGTTTTCTCCTACACTTGGGGATTTTCCTTCAAAGACTGTGGACCACTCCCTGAATGATTTTAGGAATGAAGCTTTCTTTTCTCAAAAGTAATATGTGTTTACTGTAGAAACTTCAGTAAGTAGAGATAGGCAAAATGAATCCAGACAAAAATCACCCAGAATCTGACCAATATTATTCCTTAATGCATATGTATTATAAATATAAATAACATTTTATTGTGCTGACATTTGTCAAACCAGTTCCTTGTTGGACATTGAGGTTTTTGTTATTTTTCTTGATATAAACACCACTCCCAAAATTATTCCTGGAAACTGAACGTCCTTTTTTTGTTTGTTTGTTTAGTTTTTACTTTATAATCACAAACTTAACTCTGCAATCCAGCTCTTGGAGGGGAATAAGGAAAATATGGAACCACAGACCTGCAGCAAGAGCACAAAGATTATAGGCTATTTCGAGCAGATGGGGGTGAAGTGGTGTCTCCTGAGCTACAGAAGGAATGGTCTGGTACTTAAGATAACACACAAGTCAAATATATTAGATTTGTCCACAGTCAGCAATGGTGATCTTCTTGCTGGTTATGCCATTCCTGGACACAAACCCATCTACGCTTCCACAATATTCATGCCCTCTTTCACCTTGCCAGAGACCACATGCCAAACAGCCAACCACTCTGTCTTGGCCATGCAGATGAGAAACTGGGAACTGTTTGTGTTGGGTCCAGCATTTGTCACGGACAAGATGCCAGGACCCGTGTGCTTCAGGATGAAATCCTCATCATCAACTTTGTCCCCATAGATGGACTTGCCCCCAGTGCCATTATGGTGTGGGAAGTCACCACCCTGGCACAGAAATCCTGGAATAATCCTGTGAAAGCAGGAACCTTTATAACCAAATCCTTCCTCCACAGTGCTCAGAGCACAAAAGTTCTCTGCTGTCTTTAGCACTTTGCAAAGTTTTAAACACACACACACACACACACAACGCACGCAGGCACCGGGCTAAAAAGGATATACAGACCTTATAGATAGTTGCTTTTCTGAAAAGTTGCATCAAATCCCATACCTGTTCCCACTGCGGATAAGTGTCAAAGGAAACAGTCAAAAAGATCTCACACACATACCAGAAACAAATTGTAGTGAAGGTCATACTCTATCAATGTCCTTAGATTTTAATTCGAGAGGTTCCCTGTATTTAGCTAGTTATTTGTAAATTTGGTAACTATGGCAAATGCATACTCAGAAGGAACTAGCTAACCTTCAGGCCATGTGTGCTATTCAGGTGACTCAAGAGTCTACAGTAATCTTATTGTTTTTATGTTGCCAGGTGATAATAAGCTGTTTCAGTACAATCTCTGAGAGAATTTCCAGTCAAATTGAAGGGTTTGGAATATTATAGACCCAGAGTGTGGGCTATAAATATAAGTAAGCTAGATAGAAGGTAATTTGTTTCAGCTATTTCCTCTGGACGATGGCAATGTCTACAATTAAAGAATTTACAAACTAGGGGAAGCTTTGAGTCACTCAAATTTCAGTTGTGGGATGGGACGACCGAGGGTCCCAGGGGCCTGTCCAAGCCTCCCTCAGGTGGGTGGAAAGGCTGAGTCAGTGTTGGAGGAGACAAGACTCCAGCACCTGGGCAGGCAGGGGTAGCAGAAGAGGTACAGGGGGCCAAAGAGAGGAGCCAGAAAAGTGTGGGTTTTCATGTTAGACTGACCCAGATTCATATCGTAGTTTTCCCACTTGTTAAAGATAGGGCCTGGGGCATTTTACTCAACCTCTCTGAGCTTTAACTCTATACAGTGGAGACAAACACCACTTCTTAGGGCTGCTGAGAGATTTCAGTGAAATAAATGTGTAGAAACTAACTACAGTAACTGATACATCGAAGGAACTCCAACAAATGGTTGCTATTACTACTATCATGATTAATCATTATTATTGCTGTTGCCTTTGAGGATAGTTGGATAGATTTGAGGGGGAAGTTACTTATTACTGATCATTACACCTCCTCTTTGGATTTTCTATTTCAGGGGTTCTTAATCTTGTGCCCAAGAATTCCCAAGAGGCCCATGAATAGATATCTGGGAGGGGGGTTGTTAAACCCTGGTGAGAAAAAAATGTCAATGTTTTTACTAACCTGTAATGAAAACTTACTATTTCCTCTGTTATGACCACATGCAACAATTCACAGTAGTGATCATGCTTTGAGGAACAATACAAAATTACGTATTATTTTTGTATCACATTAAAATTGTTGCAGGTTTCTCAAAATATCATTTCAATGGGAATCCTGTTTCAAAAGCTTCATAGACCCACTCATTAGACCACTGCTGGAACACATGCGATCTCTGTCTTCCTGTCTACAGATGTTGGAGTGATCGAGCTGGCTGTCAAGGTAACTATTATAATTTTCAAAAATATTTTGATAAAAATATCACAATTTGATAAAACATTGTACGTTTATTTCATGCACTTTTTTTTAAAAGTAGGCTACACACCCAGCATGGGGCTTGAGCTCACAACCTTGAGATCAAGCATCACATGCTCTACCGACTGAGCCAAACAGGCACCTTTATTTTGTGCACTTTTAAACAGTATTCTTCCAAGGGGTCCGCAGTCTTCATCAGACTGCCAGAGGGAGACAGAGGCACAACGAAGATTCAAACCCTTGGGTGGAGAGGCCATTGCAGGGCACCTGGCACACAGGAGGAGCCCTGCTGTCCACCAGCCCAAGAAGCTTCTTTATTCTTGTGTCGATTGCCTAGGCCAATAAACACCAAAAGCAGGACACTTCTGAAGACAATTCCTAACAGATCAGGGGATCCTGTCTCTTAAAAGAGCCTAACTCTGTACAATACATATAAAATATCAAGGGAGAAAATGTCTCCACAGGAGCCTGATGCCTGGAGCATCCAGTAGAAAGGAAAGTTACTTAAGTGGTGTAATGAACTCAACCCCAATGGACGCAGAGCAACAACAGTGCGGGGATAGCAGAGAAAGGTAGAAGAGGAGGGCGAGGATGAGGCAGAGAAAGTGGGATAGAAAACCCAGAAGCCACAAAGCCCCGAACAATGGCGGCTGCACAACCTGCAGGCTGGGGGGGTGGGGGTGGCGAGGTGGAAATAGGGAGAAAAAAGGAGGAATTTTAAATAAAGGACAATGAAATTAAACAAGAAAAAACATGGTAGTGGATACTTTATTTTGTTGGATTTCAACCACCAAGTTTTGGGTTTATTTCCTCACAGTCCTCCTGCCCTTCCTCTCCCTCCCCCATTTTCCCATGATGGTGATAAACTGCTTTATTCCGTTCCCCATCTTTTTTCTTGCCCAAGTATCCAGGCCTTTTTCTTTTTCAATGCATGATCCTTAGCGCTTGTCTTTGAGGGACAAAAAGTTTTCCACGTGTTAGAGAAAGTTAGGATCCAGGAGGACTCCTGGAAGCATTGCTTGTATTGACTCCTTCCTTTAGCTCAGGGCACTCTCAACCAGCCCTCCTGCTCCACGCAAGTATCTGTCTCTCACAAAATTCGCAACAGTTCATAAAGGCCTCTTGTCAGAGATTTGCAGGCATATGAATGGGAAACACCATATAAACAGTGAAAAAAACACATCTTTTCAAGTTGTTAGATTTTTTCCTTCATGGTTTTAAAAAAAAAAAAGCAACTACACATCTTCCATGTAATAAACCCATGCACATATAATAGAAATGGGAATGCAATATTTATCCTTATAACGCTTCTCAAAAACATTACTCAGGCCAGGGTTTATCTCAGCTACGCTGAGGACCAGCCGTCATTCAGTCGATAAATGACCTCATTTATTTTCTCAGTCCTAAAAAAAGGTTTGTTTGTTACGCTCAAGCACTGACATCACATGAAGATGCCAGTCTTTATACACATTTATAAAAGTAGAATATGTAGAGTATGATACAGTGGTACAAAGTTTTACAAATTAATACAAGTCAAATATATAAATTACAATGAAAGAGAGGAAGGTTGTGGTTCTGTCTCGGGGCGGCTCTTTTAGCAGTCATATCTCTGCAAAGAAAATGAGAGCGGCGTTAGGTTACAATCAGACTAAACAAACAACGATGCCATTTTCGTCCTAAAAATTCCTGTTTGAAGCAGACCTAAAGCAGGCTGATGTCAGCTTCAGCTGAGAGCTTAGACAATGCTCATAAAACGTTTCCTAAACAAACGGACACCCATTGTCCTCTCTGAGGAAAAGCTGCTGGAAAGGGCCATGAAAACGCAGCTTACCGGTGTTGGGCTCACTCTGAATGTGTTTGGGGTAGGTTTTTAATCTTAAGGATTTTAGAAATAATGCCATGGGAGTTTCACCCGGGAGTGGGCTCAATGTGGGTAACTTTCCCAATTCAATGCTACCAAGTTACAGACTTGACTCATCTACACTAAAAAACCTTGCCCTTTGAAAGTGTCTTTTGTCTGAGGAATAAAGGTAGCAGATCTGCACTGGCATGTCTGGGAAGAAGCCATCCCTACTGTGACTCAGACAGATGGGAAACCCTGTGGGACTATTTCCCCCCCACCCCAAACCCCCTCCCACGCTCAGGGAGGAGAGTCACTCTTCCAAACCACTATGCCTCTTCCCCAAACGCACAAGTGCTGATGTCCAGCAGGGCCTCACCTAATTTAAACTCCGCCTTGTATGAAATTCAAGGCTAAAGATAGGTTACATTAGAGTAATTCAGAGAGGCTTCTTCTCTGTCTCTCCCCAACCATACTGCCTGGAAACAAGTCCACGTTGAAAGTTTCCCACTGTGTTGTTTTCTTGGAAATGTGGCAGGCTCCCAAAGGAAATTATTAATCTTGCTGTACTTGCCTGATAAGGGAAACTAGATTTTTAACTTCCCCTCAAAAATTTTAGAAAGTTTCCATTTATTTACAGCAAGGTTTTTCATGGTAGCAGTGGGCTTTCAGTTTTCATTAGGTTTTGTCATATTTTAAAAGAAAGGGACCTTGATTGAACCAAAGGAGCAAATGATTAGGAAAACAGAAATTAAGTTTCTGTTTACCTAATCCTGTTTTACAGAATAATGCATAAAACAAATCCTCCAAAACTGGACCAAAGCTGGACTTCCATCAATTCATTAATACATGGGTTTTTTTTTTTTTTAGGAGGATATAGAAACAAGAACTTTCCCTGCTACTAACAAATGCATACTTCTCTCTGAAATCATATCCCCAGGAAACAAGTGCTTCCTGGTTTTCTTTCACTGTGAAAGCCTTTTCACAAGCTGCTATTCAAAGCTTACCAGCGATTCTCTGTGCTTAGCTGTTGGGCATTTTGGGGACTCCTTTTTAGGAAGGAATTGTAAAAAAATGCAACAGAACAGCAAGTATTGTGTACAGGTTGAGAGCAGGAGCTGTGACATAAGATGACCCAGGGTTTGAAGCCTGCTAGTTCCTGACTAGGTGATCTTAGACATATTGCTCAATCCCTGACTCAGTCTCATCTGAAATGTCAGTGTAGCTCAGTGCCTAGTTCAATGAACGTTGACTACTATTTGTGTACACTAGTTGGGAACATGAGAGCAAGCAAAGTTCTGTCTCTTTGGCCAGAGCAGGGCCAGTGAAAGGGGCGGTGAGTTTGCTCTTGAAGGGACACTTTGTCTATGGACAGCATTTTCCTTATATACACAGAGCCAACTACAAAAAAAAACAAGATAACCCAGGGACTATGACACTCAAGGAAGCTTGTTACCGAGAGCAAAACCAAATGCTGTACATGCTCTGCCACAAAGACGGTATAGGAACAAATCCTAGTAGGTTGAGCAGTGTTTAATTTTGCCTTTTTTTCTTTATGATGAAAATAATGGCGTATTATAAGCATTGAATACCCCAGGGCCAAGCGGTGACCTTTTCACACAGGTTCTTACCTGTTGGCGCGAACAGCAATAGCCACATATTCCTCCCATCGTTCCATTTATTACTTGAATGAGACACAAGATGAATTCAATTCCACCGAGGGCCAAGAGGATAGAAAACAGAGAGACATTCCATTCTACAACATGCTTGGGTTCAATGCACTGGGACCATGTGGAGGTATCCAGAAGGTACCTGTGGATAAAAAAAAGAAACTTCTGACACCTGACCACACCTAATGGGATGTCTCATAAGCTACTTTCTGTGTGGTGCTTTTTCGTTCAGAAAAAAAGAAAGGAATTAATTCATTGACCTGTATCAAATTTTTCTAGTCCTAGTCATTTCATGAAGTGAGGAATTTAGCCCAGGTCGTGTTGCAGGGACAAACATAAAATTCAGCAAAGATTATCAGGCACTCAGTGTGAGTTAGACATCAAGCCCAGGCTGGGGATATAATGGTGAACACGGCATGGGCTTTGCCCTGGAAGAGCAGAGCCTCCAAGGGAGGAGACAAGATGCAATCGCAACGCAACAAGTATACTGATCAGGTTAACCAAGTGTGAGGAAGGGTACTAAGCTAGGCCAAGAGAATACCTGCTTATGTAACTGTTCCACAAGTCTGAGCTCCATGAAGATAGGAACCAGACCTTTCATCATTGTATATATAACCCCTAGACCAGTATCTGGCACATAGTAGGTACTCAACACTTTTAAAAGTAATTGAATGATAAATAATCTGAAGTCATGTTAGCAAGCCATGCTGAAGTCACATATACACACACACATATACACAGGCACACACATACAAGTCATATACATATATACGTGACTTAGGAGATTTTCTAAATACCTGAATATTCTTACAGTCTGAAAAATTTCTATCTCTGATTACTCTCTTAGAATCTCAGCCTTTGCTACATCATAAAGCATTTGGATCCTTAATGAAAGGATTCAATCATGTGAGAAAATCTATAATTGACTTAATTCCACAAAGAGGTCTGGTATATTATCAGTTTTTCCTGAAACAACAGAACAAAGGGGCTTGGAATTAGAGACCTAATTTTGAATGGTCATTGAGCCAATCAGAAATTCAATTTGTTGATTAAAAAAGAAAAAGAACTCTGTCCTTATGACTTTGTCTTTCTGCCTATCAGTGGGGAAAAGAATTTGTAATTTTAGGACACAGTGTAAAAAAATTCTTTGGCCCACTTGTCCATTGAGCAATTAATCATTGGCTTGTGACCATTAGTTATTTCCCATACTAAAATCCTTGGACAGGTTGAAGTGAGGAATGATACAGAAGTAAAAGTTTTCTTACAGAAGCTGGGGTGGGTCAGGGGAGGGACATACACTCAAACAGCTGTAAAAATGTTTTAGTGATACTCGCCCTTCTCCTTACATTCCAGCTGCATTCATCATGATCTTTTTTAGAGGTGGGTTTTCTATGTCTGTGAATACATGAATAACGAATTTCTACTAGTACGTTCAGTATGTTCCAAACACAGCTGAATCACGATCAATAACTGTTTTGACCACCGAAATTTCAAACCCCTCTAAATGCTGATTTTCCTTCAGAGGCTACCTTGGCTGTATTCATTGTAAGTTACGAGAGAGTATTAACAGCCAACAGAGGCCATGCTCAGAATGTGTCAGCTTCTGTGACAAATACTTTACATTTATTATCTCATTAATCCTCCTGACAACTGCCCCTGGTTTTATTTTACAGATGAAGTAACTGAGAAGCACAGAGCTCAGGCCACTGTTTCCTGGTTGCTGAGGGAGAAATGCAGAGCTGGGATGGAATCCAGGTCCATGTAATTCCATGCGCATGGTTTATGAACTCACTATTCATGGGGGACAAACAGTCTTGATAATGTAAAGGCAATTGAAATTCATTATTCATATTATTTTCACTCATGAATCTCACAACTAAGCTTTTCAAAATTCAAAGCAAGATGTCATTCATTTGTCGTCATGTACATCAGTTTCTATCAGCTATTTCTGATCCCTTCTCAATAATGGGTAAGAAATAAGCATCAACATAAAATAAAAGACCTTAAATTATCCTGATGTTAAAGTCGCATATCAGACCTGTCTTATATAAGCTGATCACTTTAAATAACGGGTTTGTTGTATGTAGTTATTACATTTATATGTGAGTGTGTGTATGGGAGTAGTATGATCTACCCTGGGCTTTGGTTAAATTCATATGCTTTCCATCCACATTATGTAAGGATTCCATAATATTTTCTTATAAAATAGTAAAATCAGCTAATCGTTCTGGTATAGTGGACACACTGTATGAGCACAAGCTCTACAGCCAGGCTGCCTGGGTTCACATCCTGACTGTCTATATCCTTCCTAGCAATGTGACTTTGAATAAGTTCCTTCAACTCTCTGTGCCTCCTTTTCCTCATCTGTAAAATGGGAGCAATAGTGGAAGTCAACTCATAGGGTATCATGAAGGCTGAATCAAAGAATCCACTAAAAAGCACGGAGAGCTTCTCCAGGTCAGGGATCCAAGTGCTGACACCACCGCCTGGTGCGAAAACACCTGGCCCAGCGGACGGACACATGGATCGCTGCTGCCATTCCAACTTGACGCTTGCCACTATACCATGTGGTGGATGAGAACGTGTGGCCCGACGGGAAACAATTACTCACTGTCCATCGGTGTTGGCAAAGGTGTAGTTCCAGCGGCCAAAAGTATCAAGACATCGTGGTCCTTCCGCCAAGCCCAGGGCTGCCACGATGACGCAGTAGCCAGATCCGGCGATTCCGATCAGAGCAGCCAGAACAGAAGAAAGCATCTGGCGAGAGGAGAAAGAGAGGAAGTGAGCCTGCGTGGCCCCGGCCGCCTCCCAGGGACCGTTTCCACCCCCGGAGCTGGAACACCTACCGCGCATCTCTTGCCGCAGTTTTCGTGGCCACAGCAGCCGCAGCAGTCATCCTCTTCCAGCCCCATGAACACAAATGCCGGGAAGAATATCTGGTTCGAAAACAGGCAAATGAAAGTCACCGCCTTTCCCCCAAATCAAAGCCTGCCATAAGGGTCAGGCGAAGCATCTTTTGGTGGAATATATTTCTTTCTGACAGTGGTGGATGGCTTTGGGTTCCCTTGTCCAAGTATCTCAAAGAATGTAAAACTATGAGAACAAGACGCTTCTAAGTGGAGTACCTGCTTGTTTGCATGTGATGTGGGTGAGCGTGCACGATGAGAGGGCTCAAAGAGTAACCTATAAAAATGTTTCTTCCACAAGAATTCCTAGCACAGTCCCAGAGGGACCTCTGCTTTGAAACTCTTAAGCCCTGTCTTTTAAATCTGATTTTTTTTTCCCTTGTAAAACATAGACGGTACTAACAGTCTTTCATAGAATAACTGAAATTTTTCATAAATGGGAGAGATGAAGACACCATATAAGATGATGATATGATTGTATGGTTGTTGCCTCACAATAAAGCTCTTTAAATAAGGTAAGTATGAAATACCCTGAGTTTGAGATCAAAAGAAGCCTAAACAGGTGCGATGTTATATGAAGGACAAATGATTATGCCAACATGATAATAATGCTTCATCATAATGTATTCAATTTAAATGTTGTAACATCTTTTCTTGACTAAGAAAAATATCCTGTGTGGTACTAGCAATTCCATAAAATGTCTTTTTAGAATTCTCAATCCCAGCATTTAAAGTGGCAAACTCAAGTTTGTCCACATTCTTTCCATGCTGTGGTTGAAGCTAATACTTTCAGCTCCCAGGTTGGCAGGCAAATTCCTCTCGCTTCAATTAAAAACAAACCTTGGAAAAAACAACACATTCCACTGTTAGCTTCAGACCCTGATCTGCTGTTAACTGTAGGATTTTTCCTAGACACCACACCCAGGATTACATAAAGGAGAAAATTTATAGTTCTTTCTAAATAGCAATACACTCATAAGTCATGATTTTTTTTTTTTCTGTCACAGGCCTGAGAATAAACAGCAGAGAATTTGGATCCAAAATTCTGTTGATTTAGACAGAGAACCAGCGGCGTCCTCCCAGCTCCCCAGAGCAAATGTTACATGCCCACCACCACCCCCACCCCCCAGTACTAGAAACTCTATAGTCTCTCAGATCTGATTTAAAAGCTATCTGTTTTCTAGCTGTAAAGTAAGAGAACATAGCAAAAAGGTAGTTCACGGTTAGCTGAAAGAGGATTTTGTAAAACGTCTAACAAAATAAATACACCAGACCTATCTTTTGTGTGATCTGCTTTCCAAAGAAGAACGAACAAAAATAACTGGATTGGGAAGCAGCCATCATAGAAACCTTTCCATGAAAACACCTCATTAACAGAAGAGAATTTTAAGCTTCTAATAATTCTGAACAACTTACCAGCAAGCCCCCTCCTACGATGCCAGAGAAGAACCACACGAAGCGGCTGAGATGGTTTTCAGAGGCATATTTCGTTTCCCCATTGGGAAAGTAAAGCAAAATATTGGCCACAATGCAGAGGATGGCCAGCCACACCAGAGAATGTCCGATGCATCGCGCACATTTGCCGTAGCACATGGCGGCAGAGAGTCTGGGAGGCTTTCCCTCTTCCCTCTGCAGCTCAGTGAGGGCCCGAGTCAGGCGAGAGTGTGCCCGTCTGGGGAGAAAGCAAAAGCAGTTCTCAGCCCATTCCTGAACCTCTTAAATACTCGGAGTTCTTAGTCACTGGGTGGGTGAGGTACTTAGCTTTCATTGGTCCTGATTGCAGGCTCCCGTTGGGGTGGGGGGAGGCAGGGGAAACGTCCCGCCCTTTGGATGAAATCCTTGAGACAAGCGAAACCAGGGTAGGGACGTGAGAAACAGCCTTGGTCATAGGCAAGGAAGAAAATGATTAATCTTCCCCAAGACGTGCACCGTGCAACTCCTTCACAGGACAAAGAACTAACAGGAACGTCTAAAACAACTTTCCAGTAACTGTCGAGGGTCCACAGCGTGACTGAGCCGGGGGAGGCTTTGCGAGGCAGTGGGCTGTGATCCTGCTCCACACAGCTGTCTGGATAGCTTCCAGTCTGACAGCTCCGTGTTCACTTCCCCCTCGGCCCTGACTTAATGCCAGACCTGGGGCCAGTCTCCTGAGCCCTGAGCTTGTCTCCTTGTCTGTGAGAGGCAAGGGGGCAAAAGCCAGCCTCCACAGATTTGAGGAGGCTGTTGGGAACGTTCCCGAGCAGTCTTCTTTCCTCTGCCTGCTGCATGCTCTGCGGGACTGCTCCGACTGGCTGGCTTTCCCAGAGAGCTGCCTCCAGAACAAATCTGGCACCAAAACAAAGGTGGCATGAGTCAACACAAAGGGCTCGGGCACGTTTTTATTCCTGAGTACTGCTCTCAGGCAAAGTGAGGACGGCAAGGGCCAAGGGAGGCCTAAAGCATAGGGGAAGGATAAAAAGAAAAAGAATTTAAAAAAAAAAGAAAAAGAAAGGAACAGAAGAGAAAGGGACTTGACAAGTAGAGCGGGGTGGGGGGGAGGGGAGACTGAGAGAAGCTGGACTGAGTGGGGAGGCACGGTTGTTGATCGGGACTCAGGGTCTCCCCGTGGTCTACCAGCCAGCTCCTGAGCCAGCTGTTGCACCCTCACAGATGAAGGCCGAGAAAGGGGGTTACACTGACTTTCTTAGGTGGCTGCCTTGCAGAAGGAGGGGTCGGACTCCGAAGAAGTTCAGCCCTTGAAGAGCAGGCTGTGCAGGCCAGGTGGGCTAGGGGAGGAGGGGGTGACCAGGTGGGGCCAGGACTGGAGGGGCCTTGTCCCCGGGACAGAATAGGGAGTGAAGAGGCAAAAGGCCAAAATGGGGTGTTGTTAGTTCAGAAGAGGAAGGTGAGCAAGCCTGGTGAATCTGGGAGCTCAGGCTGTGGCCAGAGGCTGAAGGATCTGTGCCAAAACTGGAGGGCAGGACACATACCAAATTTGAGGAGGCTAGCCAGGTTTAGTCTCATAAAATCCGGACTGGGAGGAACGTACTAACAAAGGTGGGGCCATGATCCAGACTGGCCTGAGGGAAGAGGTGGATAGAAAAGTGAGCACAGGCCGGGAAGGCTGGAAGCGCCCACCTGGTCAGGTAGAGGAAGGCAGATTTTTCACAAGAACGTCACTCTGTTACCACCGTGCATCCAACAACCTGGCCCATGCATCCTCTGTCCTGGCTTCAGGTCCTAATGGAGAGAAGATTACACAGGGCCTGGGATGGCGTCCCAGGTGAATGTCTGGGCTCTTTGTTAAGGCATCATCATTGCAAACCTCACTCTGCGGATCTATCCCACCTGGGGCCAAAATGCGGTGAGCAATCCTGTGATGACTTTGCTCCTGAGTGCTTAATCCCCTTCCCCCTTCCCCCTCACCCCTACAGTCAGCAGGGTGTGGAGAAGAGAGTGAGGGGTATGCGAAAAGTCTGGAGTAACAGCCCACCTCTGCTCTTTTGTGGATCAGGCAAGTCATCACATTCGTGGGACTCTGTTTTCTACTCTATAAGACATGCGGCAGGACTAGATCAGTTGTTCTGGAGTTTTTGAGACTCTTGTGATGATATGGACCCTCTCCCCCCAACCCCTGCCAAAAAAAAAAAAAAAGTACAGGTGCATTCATTCAACTTCAGAGGTTTCATGGATTCCCTGAAGCCCACGAGTGGAGTCTCTTGCACATTTCTCCAGGTGGGCCCTGTCTGGAGACCATTTGCATCACAGATGCAGATACTTGGTCCACTCCCAACGTAATAAATAGGAATTATGGGGGATGAGGCCCAGTCATCTGAATTTTTTACCAACACTTCAAATGAGTCTTCTGTTTCGCTTGGGTTGGGGATCACTGGCCTGGTCCACGGGCCAGCAAAATATCATGTGTACTAGATGTTCCCTGAGGCCACTCCCACCTCCAGTGGCTCCTCAGCTCTAGGCAGACATACAGGGTGTGCATGAATTGTGGGGGACACACTGCAGTTCAGTGTAAGTCCCTTGCAAGCTTGAGCTGACCAAATTCACTTGTAATATGGAGTCTGTCCACCTTGCCCACGCTCCTATCATTCTATATAGTACCTTCTGCTTCTGCCTCTCAGCTGGTAACCTAAATCAGGGTTCTTTTGGGTTTAGTTACTGGTTTAAGACCAGATATGCTTTTCTGGACAATTGTTTAACCACTTGGCTCTGGTCCTAGCCAGACTTTGCCCTACAGGCCTTTCTCCTGGCTGTGAACTCTCAACCTCCTGTGCAGAGCTGCGATCTCCATGGACACTTTCTGGGTTCCATCCCACTCTCCAAACCCTACCCCCATCCCTCCAATGTCTGCTTCCCCCACCCCCCATCATCTTTGTTCTAAGCATTATCTTCTCCCAGAGCTTCCTGCTGTAGGATTCTGCTCATACATCCCCTCAAAGAGGCCCTCTCCAAAGACGCCATCTAATGATGGGATTCCCCCTCCCCCAGCTACTCTTTATCACATCACCCTGTTCTATTACCATCCCAGACTTTATCATCCCTGAAATTTTTCTGTGTATTCACTTGTTTCCTTTTCTATTGTGTGACTCCCCTCCTCTGAATGGGGAACCCTTTTGGCCCTTGTCCACCATTGTTTCCCAGGGCCCGGAACAATGCCTGCTACATGGTAGGTAGACAGTAAATATTTGCTGAAAAGCTAACTGAATAAATAAATGAATTGATAAATTCTTAAGCCTGTTCTTACCAGGCTGATGCTCCAGTCCCTCCACCTTCAATTCGTTATGCCTCCTTATGAGCCACGGCCTCACTAAAAACCCCCTTAGCTGGTTCACACCATTGCTCCCCAGTCCCGCCACTGCCTGACTGTTTAGTTGGGGCAAGTTATTAACCATTCTGTACCTCAGTTTCTGTCATTCTTTGTTCACCATTATTTATTGAGCTCCTACTGTGTTTTCTAAGTTCTGGGTATATATACAGCAGTCAACAAAACAAACAAAAGTCCCTGCCCTTAAAGACAGTCCATTCTGTCAGAAAGCGAGAGACAAATACAAAATAATATTAAATAAATAAAATACCTTGTGCCTTAGTGATAAGTGCAGGAAAGGGGACTAGGCGAGGGAGGGAGACAGCCTCCTGAAACAGGGTAATAATAGAACCTACATCACAGAGTGTGATGTGCAAAGTGAGTCAATGTGTGCAAAGCATGAAGCACCTGGCATTTAGCAATCACTCAATAAATGCTACTTGTTATTACTTACTCTTTTCATCAGCCCACTGGCCCAGGCAAGATGTCTCTCCTCCCTTTATGATATATCTACTTCTCTGGCATCCCATCACACCAATATGTATTAGATCCCTTTATTGTCTTTTGTGACTGATTTTTAGATACTGGAGTTCCCACAGTGATATTAAAAGTTCACTTTTACCTCCCTCTTTCCCTCTGGAATCAGCCTCAATGCATGAATACCTTTGGAAAGAGTGGTCTTTACTTTGCCACAGGACTGTAGGTCTCTGAGCATTGGACACTGGTTCTCAAGCCCATGTTTTGGGTATGTTGTCCCACTGCCAAAAAGGCCCTGTTCTTCCTTCTCACCATGGTCCACCCCACCTGGCTTTGTTCCCTTGGCTGAACTCATCGCTTTTTTTT